TCTGTGCTATGGTACTAGAAACACCAAACATAGAATTATCAGATCAAATTGCACAAATACATGAAGTAATGAAATTATGAGAATATGCAAATGACGTTATAACAGAAAAAGATCGTAACGTTCAAGAGTGGACTAAAGAAAAAGATGAAGATCAAAGTGAAATCACAGGATCCCAAAAATCAGGGATATATATACCCTTAGGATTTCAATTTGAAGACCCAGACGTATCTGACTTAGCAGACAGGTTAGCAAGAACAACCTTTATGGCAAATAATAAACAACCTGTAGATAAAAGACAAAAAAATTTGAATAATAAACACTTAGATCAGATATATAGAGAAGTAAAAGAAACCTTAAATAAGGTATTACCTTCAGGAAAAGGAAAAAAGAAAGAGGAAGAACCTCCTAAAAATCAACCACGAAAAATGGATCAGATAATTAAACAAAAATTAAATAGACTAGATAAAGCTATAATTGATGGAGAAATAGCTAAAGATACAAAAATTGAACAAACAATTCAAGATCTCAATTGGAGATTAGAACAAATAAACAAAACCTACAGTTATATCCAAGGTCTAACTGAAGAAGAAATAGAATAATATCTTGAATCAATACAAAAAGTAACAAAAATTAAGGATACTGACAAACCTGCAGAAACACGAAGAGAATACTTATATGAAGTATTATCAACATTGAATGAAACAAATGATGCAACAATATGGAAATATCGAGATGATATAAAAGATCTTCAAGAAGAATATAATAGAGATATTCATGGAATATTAGACATAACTGCTGAAGAATTCAATGATATGGGACTCATTGAACAGCAAGCAGCAGTAACTGCGTTAATAACAGCACAAGCACACTGTAAAGATGAACCTACAAAGCAAGCACTATTTGAAAAACACAAAGAATTCTTAGAATCTCAATTAGAAAAAGTAGAAGATATGCATGATGATACAGAAATTCAGGGAAGAATTTATGGAGATGTCATCAATGCAAGAAAAAAGAAAAAACTACAAATATTACTGCCCGATCCAGAAGGAAGAAGCACTTACAAACCATACGAACAATATGATGTACCGAGAGATAAACAATTTATTAAAGAAAATGAACAAATTGGAATAAGAATACTATACTCACCTACAGATGATGTATTCTTAGATGAAAGATTATCACAAGCCTCTAGAAGGAATAAAGACATCCCTCAAGGAGTGTTACCAAAAGTAACAAAATTCCTTGGAGATGTAGGACAAGAAATTAAAAATAAATTCACATCTAGACCAACGACACCTTCACCACTGAGTCAACATACCTTAAGTAGAGCACCCACACCTACTATTGAAAATAGTAACAATATAGTTGATCGAAAAAGAAATGAAAGAGGTTATACACCATCACCAGATCCTTATGAAAGAAAACAGCAAAGATACAAAAGCCCAAGTCTTAGTTCAAAACATACAGACCAAATTTCTAATGAAGAAATAGAAGAAATAGAAATACCATATTATGATAATGTGCATAATGAAGGACAATCCTCAACCTACAGACCAGTACATGGTACCTTTAGAGGACAAACATATACTACATATGTACCTGAAACAATATATCAAGAATTAGAGGAATTCAAAGAAGAAGAATTAAGTGAATTAGAAGCACAATTAGAAGCAGATTTAGAAGAACACCGAATTGAAAGATTTGGACAAGAAGTTGAAAGTCAACTCAAAGAAAATAAAGAAGGGTATGGAATAAATGATGATGAAGAATATAATCATATTTTAAATAACTTAACTGTAAGACAAAAAAGAAAAATAATACCTACTATTATTAAAACAAAAAAGGAAAAGATATTCTTGATTAATGATTCCATTTGCTTGTAAATACAGAATATATTCGGATTCATTTTCTAAGATTTTCTTGATTTCGTATCTTGTCGGAATTCCTTTATTTTCATTTCTTGTTCTTTTCCGATTTATTCTCGAGATTCTTTTCTATAAATTTGATGGTTTTTCCAAACATTTTTCTCAATGTTCATTTTGATCACCTTTATATACTTGTTTTCTTTAATATATCTTTATTTAGCAATTATCCTTTTTATCCAATTACTCCTTTTCTTTATTTTTCTTTTTAAGCATTATGGCTTTTACTCTTACTAGTTCTGATATTTCTTCTTCATTAGATTTTGAAGATTATAGCCATTTCCGTATTGAGCTTAAGGGTTGCATAATCTATATTTCTTATCTCTTTGCCAAATATCTTCATGATGTTGTTTTTATTAAGGAACGTAATGGTGTTAGTCCTTCTCAGTGTATAAGCTCTTTTATAGAGAGTATTATCCTTGAGAATTTTGCCCTTGATGAGGGTGAAGATATTGCCCTGTTTGATTGGCGTATCTACTGGAATCCTTCTTTTAAGGATCATGCCTTTCAGGAGGTTGTTGATAATTATTGCTATCCTAATGATACTATTTCTTTGAGGTCTTTAGCCAATCGCCTTTTTAATTTTGAAGCCACTGGTTGTAATGAGAATGAAGATCCTGAGTTTCTCACAGTCAAGCCTCCTTTTGGTGAGATTACTGTTTCTGACGATGGTCAGGACGTTTATATCATTTCCAATTCTTTTTTAGATCTTTCATTACTTGAGGTATGGATTTTTGATCCTATTTTACCAGGGATAATGGTAAGGGTTTTATTATTGGTTTATCATCCAACCGGAGTAAGTTAGATAATATTCTTCTAA